GATGTTTAAAAATAATAATTATATTATTGTGGGTTGAAAACCCTATGTGCTCACCAGGTTTCCCAACCTGACCCACTCAGTTTATTTATATCACAGGTGTTGATATGAAGTGACATTACACTGAGAGATTTAAAGAGATGTAGATCACTAGTGTAAATAATTGTAAGTTCTGTTTATGCTTATGTTTCTGTATTAACGATGACATACCAAACATTTTAAAATGAAATAAATACGTTTCTTCGAAAATGTTTTAATAACGTATTTACCATGTTTTTCTGGGAACAAAATCCGCAACATTTTTATAAAATGAAGTACTCTGATTTTTATAAAACATAAACAAAATCGGTCTTTTCTGGCCGTGATTTTGGGGATGTCACATAGGGTGAGGAACTCAGTCTGATGAATCCTTTGCTGAGCAGCTCGTTGAGCTAACTGGATAACTCTTTCATTTCTGTTGGCGCTAGGCGGTAAGGGGATTTAGCTACGGGGGTAGCTCCGGGGATTAAGTCGATGCGAAATTCGACTTGGCGCTCAGGAGGGATTCCCGAAAGCTCTTCGTGAAAGACATCAAGAAAGTTGCAGACTTCGGGGATGCTCTCAAGGTCTTTAACTTCCTGCTTCTCGTTAATGATGTGGGTAGGAATGCATGACACTCCTTTCGTAGAAGTTTTTAGGCCTTGATGCATGAAATGATACCGAGGTTTGAACTCAGTTTATCGCCGTAAATCATGAGGGTTTCGCCAGAGGGTAAATTAACACAAATAGCTTTTCCATAACAAAGGATATTAACATGATTGGGGCTCAACCAATCCATACCGATGATGGCATCGAAGCTCTTTATGGAAACTGGCATAAGATCGATGGGAAAAGAATGATCGTTTGTGGTAAGGGTGCAGCCTATGAATACGTCGTTAGTGCTCTCTTTCTCACCGTTAGCCATCTCAACGGTAAATGTTTCGGTTAAGGGTTGAAGTTTATGTTTGAGAAGGTGTTTGAATGCATGACTAACAAAACTTCTCTCCACACCAGAATCGAAAAGAATGCATGTATAAGAGTTGTCGAGGAGGAACATACCCGTAACAACTGTGGGATCTGCAACTGCTTCCTTTTTCCCCATAGTCATTACTCTCCCCGTGCTTCCAGTCGTTGCTATCTTGGGGGAGTTTCTCTTGTAGTGCCCTACTTCTCCACAACCATAACAAGCTTGACTGACACCTACTCCAGATGCCTGATTGGTTGGTTGGATTGATGCCCTACAAACCCGAGCTGTGTGCCCCCTTTTGTCGCAGTTGTTGTAGAGCATTTCATGGCATGGGGTGGGATTATGATGATAGTTGAACTTGTTGAACTGGGGAAGGGTACCAACATATGTACTGGTAGGTGCTTGGGTGGCAGGAGCAGCAACAGGAGTAGTAGCAGCTTGAACGGCCACCGTTTGTTGTTTCTTTGAGGGCTCCTACGAAGGCTGTCCCTTTCGCTGCCTCCAAAATTTCCTTTTCTCACCACTCACCTTCGCTGATTCGGGAGCGACTATCACTTTATCAAGATCAACTTTGTGATCTATGAGAGTCTACGCCAGACATTTGGCGCTGTCAAAAGTGGTTAGCCTAGTAGCCAAGACATTTCATTGCGTTGGGGGCGTCAATCCTCAAATGTACCTCTCTATTTTCTTACTCTCCGGGATGACCATTACTGGACAGAGGAGAGATAGATCACAAAATCTAGCGGTGTAGGCAACGATATCAGAACCCTTCATCTTTAGGTTCCAGAGTTCGTGCTCCAGCTTCTGCATCTCGCCCCTTGGACAGTACTCAGCAAGCATGAGCTCTTTCAAGCTCTCCCAACCCATAGCATTTGCTACCGATAGGGTTAGGGATTTGACCCGACCATTCCACCAAGTCAGGGCTCTGTTGGTGAAAGTGCAAGCGATGAATTTCACCTTACTGGATTCAGAATAAGAGCAAATTTCGAAGATAGACTCGATCTTTTTGAACCATTGATTCAAGGCAATAACACCTCTATTTCCGTCGAATGATGTGGGTTTTTCATTCATGAAGTCTTTTTAGGAACACTCCTTCTGGTGTCCCTGGCTTCCATTGAGATTGAGGGGTTGGGCACCACTTCCCGACCCGCTAGAGCCAACAAAATTTATCTGTGACATTACGACAACTACTGCGACAGTAACAGCTGCCTGAAACATGGCAGGATCGAACTAAGGAGGTGGAGGAGGTGGATCTGTTGGAGGATTGTTGTTCTTTTTGTTGGATCTTTTCTTTGGAGGCATCTTGTTCTATATCAGGAAGAAGAAGATAATAAGTTACTTTAACTTTTGAATCAAGAAATATGAAACAAGGTATATCTCTATTTGATAGATAAAGTGTTCTACTAAGCGATAAACAAGAAAGGGTTACTAACGCGATGTAATTTATCGCTAAGAAAGAATAAGTAGCAACACTTGGAATGAATCTCTACAATGTATTTCTGCTCTGACTAAAATACTCCTATAGTATTTTAAGTTGTCTATTTTGCTCTATCGATATCTTGTTGTATGGATACTTGGTAAGTTTTTGGTTTGCTGCAACACCATAGTCACTCCCAAGCACATGTTGGCCATGTCTCTAAACGTGATTACATAACTGCCTAGGTTTAACCGTGATTACATAACTGCTTAGGTTTAACCGTAGTGTCCAACATCCAAATACTTTTGTTTTGTTCTACACATGATTTTGTTTCTGGTATGTAGGTATACTTGTATACTTTTCGTAAAATACTTATATTTTAAAAGTATACTTTTAGTTCATAGCGCTTCGGCCCCTTAGTGTTTATAGTTGTATACCATGTAAGGTTCGATATACTTAGTTCACTATAAACAATAGCTCTGATACCAATCTGTCACACTCCCGAACCGTCTGAGCACACATAGTAAGATCCACATTCCAAAGCTTAAAACACACAAGAATGGAGCACACACACACGGATTAGGGTTTGCTGGACTCTCAAGAGGCTGTAAGGGGGCTAAAGGAGGCTAATGATCCTTTAAATAGGGTGCAAACCCCAGAAATTAGGGTTTCATCCTCCAACTCCTACTCGTCGAGTCCTAACTTGGACTCGATGAGTAGGTCACTTAAACACGTGTCTCAACCCGCTGCTACTCGACGAGTCAGGGAATCAAACTCGTTGAGTAGACCTTGCACTTATGAAAAAGATTAAAGCCATAATTTAATACCCGACATTACATTTTAAAACAAGAAAACATAAGTAAATGCCCTTAAAATGCAAAAATAAATAAATAAATAAATAAATAAATAAATAAAAAATCATGAGGGATCATTTAAACCATTATACATGTTTGTAGGGCTACCGTGACAATAACCTGACCCAGAATATATAAAGTTCAAAATTTTATTTTTCTCATTTTGTGTGTGTTTTAAGTCTGAAATTTTCTCTCAATTGAGCCTTTAAAGAAAAGTCAGGTGTGTCTCTGAATCTAGAACTTTTTTTGTTTATCTTGTTTATTACGGTTGGTAGTATAAGGTTCTATTTTTGGTGGAAAAAAGCGAAAAAAAAACCCCGTAGGTTCTTAAGAAACCTACGGTGTACAAGGCTCCAATGCACAAAGCGTGCATTGAATACTTGTAAATCGTAGGTTTCGTTTGCACCTACGGTTTTCATATTTTTTTGTTTGTAGCTTGTATAAAACATCATATATAATGCGTTGTTGTGATTTTTGTTAAAAAAAACACAAAATCGTAGGTTTTGAGAGGATTCTATAGACCATAAAATGGTCTACTATTTTGTTTTTGAAAAATGATTTATAATTTTTTTTTATAACAAGGCCGAAACCATAAGCAATATAGGTAAAACAGTAGACGATCTTAAGGGGATATGATTGTTGGTAAGGGTGAACAAACCCAAATCAAGAAACTGAGAAATCGACTAAAATGAACGAAATCGAAACTGAAAAACCCGAAACCGAAGGTTAGGGTTTAAATTTTTTTAAATACTGAAAACTCAGGTTCGGGTTTGGTTTTTACCCAGAAACCGACCCATCAAACCTGAGAAACCAAGCCATACTTAAAATCGACAATCCGTCCCAAAAAAATCGACCCATCCAACCCGGGAAACCGACTTATAATTGATTGTGTTTTGAAAACCAGAGGTCCAAGGGGCGGCAACCCCCTGGCGGGGTCCAAGGGGTAGAGGCCCTGGCTGGGGTTGAGTTGCCAAGTCAGCGCGATTTTTTTTTTTTATATGAATTATATTACTATATAAAAAATGCCTTAGAAATTTGAATTTTCTGAAAATGAACCCAGTTTTTTGACTTCGTTTTGACCTTTGTTAATGATCTGATTTTGTAACAGTTTATGACAGTTGGAGTAGTTTTTTGACAAAGAAAACTGCCTTGACAGTTTTTAGACAAATGAAGTACTTATTTATTTTGGTCATCATTTTCCTGGTACAACAATCACGAAAATCATACTTCATATTCTCTGTTTTTGAAACTCTTCTGAGTCTTATCTGATTAAATGTTGGGAGTACCACCCAAATACGTTAATCTGAAAGTGTAGACACGATTCTTAGAATTTTCAAACCTTTTACTACCCCGAATTCTAACAAACGGGTTAAAACCCAAAACTCATGGGTTTAAACCCAAAACACGTGAGTGTATGGGTTGAACCCAAGAAAGTGAAAAACCATTCAAACCGACCTCAGAACCCGAGAACCAAATCGACCATAACCAATTCTACTGAGTTTTGAAAACCAGAAACCGACCATTTATGAGTTGGGTTGAGTTTGGTTCTAAAACAGACTCAAACCGACCCATACAGCTTTAGAGGCTATTTCCGATTAATGACTTAATTTTGGCTAAAAACAGAAAAATAATTAATAAAATGGGTTGGTTTAGGAATTATCCGAAATATAAGTATTATCCTTAAATAATACTAACAATTCCTCCGGTACTCAATATTTTTTCGTTAACAATATAAAATTTGAGATTTTTGTGACCAGTCAATTTCCCTAAGAAATTACAACAATATTTTCACTTAACCAAAGAAAAACGGTTTTCAGAAACTTCATCAAAGCACGTGATTTCATCACCGTGTATCACATTCCTATGAACCAGAAACTATCAGCAAACAGGAACACACCTCTCCATCGGTCTCTTTACCATTCCGCCGCCGCCGTCGCGCCGTAACCACCATTAACGTATAACCAACCCAAGAAAACTTCAAATCAGGATCCATATCTAACATTGCTGTATACACAAGACAATTCCCCACATGGAGGAACAAACATTCCACTCAGAAGAACCCCATCCCCAATTTAAACCGGAATCCTCATCGCCACAATCTTCCGTTCAATCCCAACCGCCGCAACCACGACCACCAACAGAGGAGTTTTCTTCTACTTCTGATATTTCCCATATTGTTACTTCCAACCCTTCCAAAATCCCCATTCGTCCACAGAAAATCCGAAAACTCTCGCCGTCCACCGCAACGGAAGAAATTCACCCTCAAACAACGATCGCAGAAGCCGACGCATCCAAAGCCATTGTCCTTTCGGCCACCACAACCCCTGTCGCAACAAAAAACCGTCGTCGAAACCCATCGCGATCAGCGATAGATTTACAAAAAGTGATAAAACCCTTATCTGCACAGGGCGAGATCACCGCCGCTCTCCGCCATCTCAGATCCGCTGACCCTCTCCTAGCTAATTTAATCGACAATCACCCTCCGCCGGCGTTCGACTCACATCAACCACCGTTTTTAGCCCTAACCAAAAGCATTCTCTATCAACAACTAGCGTACAAGGCAGGAACATCGATATACACTCGCTTCGTCAACCTCTGCGGCGGCGAAGACAGCGTCGTCCCGGAAACTGTCCTTTCCCTCACTCACCAGCAACTTAAGCAAATTGGGGTTTCTGGGCGTAAGGCAAGTTACCTCTACGACCTAGCTAATAAGTACAACAACGGGATTCTCTCTGACGAATCAGTTGTAAAAATGGACGATAGGTCTCTTTTTACAATGCTTTCAATGGTGAAAGGAATCGGGTCATGGTCTGTTCACATGTTCATGATATTCTCGCTACATAGACCTGATGTTTTGCCTGTTAGCGATTTGGGAGTTAGGAAAGGAGTACAACTGTTGTATATGTTGGATGAGTTGCCTAGGCCATCGCAAATGGAGCAGCTCTGTGAAAAATGGCGACCTTACAGATCAGTTGGTGCCTGGTATATGTGGCGGTTTGTTGAAGGTAAGGGCACTCCGGCTGTTGCTGCTTTAGTGAATATCGGGCAGGGGCAGCAACAATTAGGGCAGTCTGAACAGGTACAACAACAGCAACAACTCCAGTTGCAGCTTTTGGAACCCATCAATAGCATTGGAAATCTCGGGTAGTTTTCTTGTTGCTTTTCTTCTCTACTCTTCTTCTGCTATCATTATGCATAATTGCATATGAAATATCCTTATTGTGTTTGGATGTTCTTGTAAATGATATGCTTTATATATTGTTGGAATCGATACTTGTTAATCAGACATGATTATTAACACACTAGTTCTTGCTATAATGCTATCATCTATGTTAGTTTTTGCCTTCCTTTCATCAAGGCTTTGCATTAACTTTGATACTGCTTGCTAATTTGTTTTTTTTTTTAAAATATGTAATCCACTAATACAATCATATATGATATATATGGTCTATTAGATTCATCACCATTGATTTAAAGCACTGAGCTTTCAATTGTTGCCCTTGCTTTTTGCACCTAATGCCTTAGGGTTATCTGATCTTTATCTAAAAAGATTCACCTTTTGATTCATGAAACAACTTGATGTGTCTACCAAAGGGCTTTTATCTTTATCCTAGCTGTATCAGGTGTTGTCCTTTCTCCTGACCTGTCTAGTGTGTCTTATCTTAGCTGTATCAGGTGTTGTTCTTTCTCCTGACCTGTCTAGTGTGTCTAGTGTGTCTGAGTAAGTGTCTAGGGACATATGTGGAATTAGGGGGAGATTAGATTTGATGTTAAAGAAAAAAGAAGTTGATGTCTTTATGCATAATGTATTGCCAACTACTTTTTTTGAAAAAAAAAAGAAGACTCATGTCAATCATTATACTTTATGACTTTATTTTCATCATTGAAACAAAGTAAAAGCATATCTAATTGGCTATAGTTGGTAGCCTATATAGGTAGATTTGGTGTTCAATCAAGAGAGATGTGTTTTTTAACATAAACATGTGTTTCTGTTTCCCAAGAGTCTTTAGATTGAAATTTGCATCTTAATTGGGCCACAAATTTTGTTATATTAATGTATATTTCGTAACTACTTTTATCTTCTGCTTCATAATTAACATGATTTCAAAGAAACTGCTGACAGAATTCCATTGGTGCCTTCTTTTTCTAGGGCTTGCATTTGGGGGCAATGATTGAAGAAGTTATGAAGATCATTGACTCATTGTGAAATTGATTATTGCACTGTGATTCGGTATTGTAAATGGATTTTTCTCATAATAACAATATGATTTTCCACGTATTTGAGTTCTTCAGCTATTTTTTCAAAGTGTTTAATTGCTTATAACTTGGCCCTTTATGTTAGAGTGGTGGTAAATAGGTAATTTTACACACGTATTACTTGATTGAAATATTTCTTTCCTTTATGTTTGACAAATCTTGAACCTGTGTTGTCATATAGGCTAATGATATGTTGTTTTTTTGTGTTTGAGAGGACTGATATCAATGAGTGAAATTGCATCTATTGTTTGTACAAAAAGACATGAATGCCCTCTTCTTCCCAAAATACCCCTAGAATTGACACAAAAAAGTTGATCATTATTAGATGGGGATTATTATCATCATATGGTTGTAGATTTGTGAATGGGTGGAAGCATTGTTGTCAAACTTGACTAACTTAGGAAAGAAACGTAGAAAAATCATAAATTTCAAGTTTAATGTCTTTTTGTTTATTTTATCTAACATTTTAACCTTAGATAAACGTACGGTATATGTTTTTCTTTCTCTAACACTTATTTTTAAAATTTTTCAGAATGTTAAAAGATTAAAAAGCTAATTATTTAAACTACTTTAACATTTAAAGGTATAAATATGAATTGTTGTTCATCTATTTTGTTAGTGTAAATTACACCATTTGTCCCTCATGCATATGCTAAAAAACATGTTTAATCGCTATTTTTAAAAGTTAACTCGAATCGTTATTTGGTTTGTTTTTTCTTGCACCATTAGTCCCTATTGACATGAAATGATTTTTTTATCCTTGATGATTTCTTTTTTCATTTTCTTTTATTTCCTTATCAATTTTAAATTAAAAACAAAGAAAAAATACAAAATATCCCAACCCCTCATTATGTCGCTTTCCTTATCCTCTTTTCTCACACCTCCTTCACAGACTAAAACCATCGAACCAAACCACCATCACCACCTTAAACCACTTGCTACCACCTTCGTTCACCCTTTAATTACATTCGCTTATGTTTAAAGTGCCACCTTTGCACCTGACTTCTTCCTCCGATACTACCACCGGCACTGAAAACACCTTTGAAACCCCGTCAACGACTTCCGATGGTGGCGTACAGGTGAAGGAGATCGATAACTTCCAAGAATGAAGATCCACTCAACCACATTCTCCTCTCTTGTTCAAATATGCCGACGGCCACACATCTGCAGATCAGGTTTGTAAGTCTCAAGACCTAAGCGCAAAGCAATGCAAATTGGGCTCTATCTCCGGCGAAAACATGGTGATGAATAACAGGTGGTGATGAAGACGAAGGTTTTCCATTGAACACAAGTAGATCTGAGATGATGTAAATCTAAAGACAACGAATGCATAGATCCGCTTGTGGATTTGTTGATTCTGATAGTGGTGATGAAGGTTTTGAACGAAATTTCGGATTGTAGAGGCGAAGGTGGCGGATTGGAGGCCAGATGTACCGCCGGTGCCGGATTTTGACATATTAGGGAGTTAGTGGTTGTAGGTGTTTGTGTGGTGTTCTTTAGGTTTAGAGAAAAAAAGGGTGGGTGAGGTGAAGGTAGAGGACGAGAGGGTTGAAGTGGGATCCAATTTCTTTTTAAATTAAAAATAATATTAAGTATTATTAGATTAATTGAAAAATAAATATATAAGGGTATTATGGTCATTTTAAATTTGAAACAGACTAAAAGCTCAACAAATTCGTCTTTTAAGGATGAAGCGTGCAAGTATAAAACAAACGAGAGACAATCCGAATTACTTTTTAAAAATATGGATCAAACGTGCTTTTTGATACTTACAGGAGAGACGATTGGTACAATTTATCCATTTTGTTATGAACTTATACCATTGTTATAGTTTTCACATAAAATTTTCTTAAAATCAGTTGTTTTACAGTTTATCATAGCCAAAATACTCCTCATCCGTACCGAACATTCTATACTTCTTAATAGCGTTTGACGAGTTCCTAACATTGGTCGGAAGACATGATTATTATTATTATTTTTTGTCTTCTATCATATACCCTAGAGGGTTGCAAAAAGGCCCAATATATATTGTCTTGTACCTTGCATTGCCTTATGATCGAGGGTATATGTGTCGAAAGATGATTAAAAGTGGGCATAGGCTCAAAAGTAAAGAAAATGGCCTTATGCTCACTCAAATCAAATGTCAAGCTTCCAACGGTCTGATTGGAGTGACCTTCCATTCCCATGGTGTTATACAGTGTGCCCACTTGATTGGTCTGTCTACACATCCAGTGGGTCGGAAAATGTACGGATGAAGTCCTTTTTTTTAAAGTAATAAATAATAAAAATATTAAATAATATCATTTTTATTTTCTTTACTACTACTGTTAAAATAACTAAGAAGTTTTGTCTGGTACTATTAAACTTATCTTATTTTTTCCATTTAATATTTATTAATTAATTATTTAGTTTTTTTTGTTATTTATTTTTATTTTTGTATATAAATAATATTTTAATTTATTTATATTTAAATTTCATATTTTTAATGTATCTTCACTAACTAATTTTATGTTAGTAGAAATTTAATAATATTTTATAAGCCAAATATCGTTTTTGTAACGGTTATATGTTGTTGGAATTTTGTTAGTGGAAATTACCTTTATGGGAAATTGGCTGAATTTGATGACTGGATCAACAAATATTGTTATATTTATTTGTTAAATATCAATGATGAAGTATTGAATTCTTTTAAGAATTATAAGTTTGACAAAAAGATTAAAATTCTAAGGATATTGCTATATTTATTGGTTAAATACCAATGATGAAGTATTTAATTCTTTTAAGAATTATAAGTTGACAAAAAGATCAAAATTCTAAAGACTGATCTAGGAGGAGAATATGAGTCAAAAGACTTTGTTGAATTTTATTCTTTAAATGATATTATACATCAAACAATTGCTCCATATATTCCTCAACAAAATGGAATGGTTGAAATGAAGAATAGAACATTGAAAAACATGATTAATTCAATGTTAATTACCTTTGGAGCACCACATAATCTATGGGGAGAAGCATGTCTTGTAACAAATTCAATACTTAAAAAGATTCATCATAAAAAGAGTGATAAATCACTTTATCATCCGTGGAAAAGGAGATTACTCTCTTACAAAAGGAGAAAAGTATGGGGTTGCCTTGCTAAGGTACAAGTACCTCTTCACAGAAGGACTAAACTTAGACTAAAAACCATAGATTGCATCTATCTTGGCCCTACCATGAACATCGAACCTATAGGTTTCTTGTGTATAAATCACATGTTGATGATATCCATAATCATACCATCATGGAATCAGCAGAGGCTGAATTCTTTGAAAATATATTTCCTTTTAAGGATAAAGGGAAAGAGGTTTCGTGCTCTAGGAAAAGACCTTTAGATGATTGACTGAATGAAACCATTCTTGACAAAAGTTTACAATAAAATGAAAAGAGTTCATCAAAGGTTCAAGAAGAGAACTTAGAACCTAGAAGAAGCAAACAGGGGTAAAATAACTAAAGATTTTGGACTTGATTATATGCCCTTATGTAGTGAATACAGAACCCCAAACTTATAAGGATGCTATGGATTCTTCTGAAGCTCCTTACTGGAAAAAGGCAATCAAAAGTGAGATTGATTCCTTAATACATAATAACACATGGAAATTGGTAGATTTGCTACATGGGCAAAAACCAATTAGACACAAATAGATATTCAAGAAGAAGTTTAGACTTATGGTAACATTGAGAAGTGTAAAGCTAGTTTAGTAGCTAAAGGGTATCGTCAAAAGTATGGTCAAGACTTCCTTGACACCTATTTTACCAGTTACAAGAATAACACCAATTCGTACACTAATAGTAGTTGCGTCCATTCACAATTTAGAAATACACCAAATGGATGTGAAAACTGCTTTCTTGTATGGTGAACTAGATGAAGAGATATATATGAATCAACCTGAAGGGTTTGTGGTTAAAGGTTAAGAAAACAAAGTCTAAAAGTTGGTTAGATCACTTTATGGACTAAAACATGCACCAAAGCAATGATAAGAGAAGTTTGACAACACGTTACTTTTTAATGGATTTAGAATTAATGAATGTGATAAATGTGTTTATGTCAAACAATACAAGAATGCTTGTATCATCATATGCTTGTGTGTAGATGATATGCTTATAATAGGTACTAGTTTGGATGTGATCAATCAAACCAAGAAAATACTACACTTCTCCTTTTATATGAAAGACTTGGGAGTAGTAGATGTGATCCTTGTTGTATGTGACATCCCCAATTTCACGGCCAGAAAAGACCAATTTGTTTACGCTTTATTTGAAAATCAGAGTATATTTTTGAGGAAATATGTTGCTGAATTTGTTCCCAAAAATATGATAAGAAAATTATCAAAGCATTCCCGAAGGAATGGGTTTTCATTATATTAAAAACACTGGGATGTCATTGTCAATACATTACATAAGCATAAACAGAAATAGTACAGACCTTACAACATCTATTATTCTAATGGCCTATAATCCATAGATCTATCATCAGTTCAACACTCCTGTGCTCTTTTGCCACTACCTGTAATACAAGAAACTTAGTGGGTCAGGCTTGGAAGCCTGATGAGCACATAAGGTTTTCAACCCACAATAATTAAGTTTATTAATTTCATCAAGTCATTCAACCCGATTACCCATTCTCGCCATCCTCACTTTTTATACCTAAAGCATCTAATTCAAGGGACCTAGCCTAAGGATCATCATCGGGATGAAAATATTGCTTAGGGGATTCCTCAACAATTTATGTTAGTAAGGAAACCATGAGGGGGAATGGAGTACACCGATGAACACATCGTTCACACACACCTACAAGTTGCGAGCTTACTAGCGTTCCACTAGACAGTCTAGAATAGTTTGTGGTCATCATTTATACTCCGCAAGATGACAAATTCAGCTTAAACATCGAGGCCTCTCATCATTTATTTCATCATCTATATCATCTACCCATCTTTACCCACCATAGTTATATGTATAAAATACATAAACAGTTTAAATC